GTTGGCTTCAAAAATCTCAGTATCCACCACCCCAGGGCTTATGCTCTGTAAAATTACCTTCAATATTTATTTATATCTTTTACTAATCAGGGTGAAACATATCTGCAATAATCTCTTGCATAATGTATTATGTTTGACTTTTGATCCTGAAGAAGACCCTCTACTATATGGACCAACTATATGGAAACATCTTTGAACCTGCCAAGTACAAATCACATTCTTTGTTTAAGATTTCTATATGGTCTACTAGTCTAAGACATCAACGTCATTACCAGTTAGTTGACAGACTTGAATGAGATGAAGTGTTTGGTAGTAAACAATCAACAATAAACAATGGTAGTATGATGTTTTGTACATGTTGACCAGTCTTTCTGAGGCAGAGACCGAAGTTAGGGGAATATTGCTATATAGTTTTTGGCTACTATGACGAGACTAATAGAAATGGGAACCAACAAGAATACATAGTAGTAAACGAAGTAAAGAATACAGCATTAGGGCATTGGTCTCAGGTGTAAAATAGCTTGTTTATCCTTGACATTTTTTATGAGGGTGAATTCATTGATACCGCAATGACAAATGCCCCCTGCTTGAGACTGACTTAGCCACCTTTAGATTAGAAGGCACTATAATGTTTTATAAGGATCTTGATTTTTAATAATTGGATATAGTTTTGTAAACTAAAATATGTTAAGAAATATATTTATGTATGCTGTTTTTAGAGCTATCAAAGCAAGAAATAAATATAACTCACAGTGACTTTTATCTTGGACTTTTGACTGGCGAGTTCTCTTCTTAGTCCCTCAGTGAAACACTTGGATGCATGTTTTGAAGATGAGTAAGGTCCTACCCCAGAAATGTCTCCTATTCGATGGGAGGCAACACTGAAAGTCAATAAAAATGTATATTAATAGAGCCAAATATGAATTCATAAATAGTTTAGCCCTTCCCAAGCATTGGCTGTTCATATACGCAACTCAATCTGAAGGTCACGAGGGCAGGGGGGGAAAGGGGGGAATGTGAATGTAACGTTGAATTCAAAACAATTGTGCCCCCTACGTCAATAGATGATTCCTGCAAACTGCATATTTCTATCTATTGCGGTTTTTACATAAATAAAGATGCAAGGTTTAAAAAAAACACCCTGTATATATAAGTGTTGTAATTTATTAATTAATGCGTTGTAACGCACTATATTTAATATTTTAGTGTTGCACGTTTACCTGCTTCGCTGGCTATGTTATTGTTCAAAAAAGTCCCTGCAGTGGTGGTAGCGCTCCCGCTCAAGCGGTCTACTAAATTCCAGAGCGGGAATTGATGGAATTGTACATAAAGCCACTTTTTCGCACTTCCTGGTTAAATAGTTTAGGATGATTTTCAACTTCTTTAAAAGTTTTCTTAACGCCTTTGCCTGAAAAATTCAGTTTGTAGCTTTTAAGTTTGTATGCATTTGTAAAAATGATTATTACAACCTATAAAACAATTAAAAAGGCTTCATTCAATATACTTTGTAATAAAGACATCAGAATTAACTGTTATTCATTCAATAAAAACTGCAAAATCGCCACCCTACGGCTCTATTCTTTGCACTACATAACATAACCTGGAGATTGGATCACCTCACCCCGAAGATAAGGGAAGAACATTGTTGGAGGGTTTTCTCTATGATTTATGTACAAAAGACAGGCAGTACATATAATAATATGTACTGCCTGTCTTTTGTACATAAATCATATGTTTTATTGTAATGTTAATACTCTATTTACAATATTGTTACATCAGTTCTTTGAAAATCATGTCCATTAAACCATGAGATAGACTGAGAGAGATGGCTGTGGGCACCACGTGTCACAAGTCACACAGCTACTTCACACATTACGACGACTGAGAGAGAGACTGAGAGATATGGCTGTGGGCACCACGTGTCACAAGTCACACAGCTACTTCACACATTACGACGACTGAGAGAGAGACTGAGAGATATGGCTGTGGGCACCACGTGTCACAAGTCACACAGCTACTTCACACATTACGACGACTGAGAGAGAGACTGAGAGATATGGCTGTGGGCACCACGTGTCACAAGTCACACAGCTACTTCACACATTACAACGACTGTGAGAGAGACTGAGAGATATGGCTGTGGGCACACGTGTCACAAGTCACACAGCTACTTCACACATTACGACGACTGAGAGAGAGACTGAGAGATATGGCTGTGGGCACCACGTGTCACAAGTCACACAGCTACTTCACACATTACGACGACTGTGAGAGAGACTGAGAGATATGGCTGTGGGCACCACGTGTCACAAGTCACACAGCTACTTCACACATTACGACGACTGTGAGATAGACTGAGAGAGATGGCTGTGGGCACCACGTGTCACAAGTCACACAGCTACTTCACACATTACGACGACTGTGAGAGAGACTGAGAGATATGGCTGTGGGCACCACGTGTCACAAGTCACACAGCTACTTCACACATTACGACGACTGTGAGAGAGACTGAAAGATATGGCTGTGGGCACCACGTGTCACAAGTCACACAGCTACTTCACACATTACGACGACTGTGAGAGAGACTGAGAGATATGGCTGTGGGCACCACGTGTCACAAGTCACACAGCTACTTCACACATTACGACGACTGTGAGAGATGGCTGTGGTGTGGCTGTAGGCACCATGTGTCCACAAGCCACTCCGCCGCTTGACACTGTTATATATGTAGAAATTAATATTAGTTGAATTTTTAGCAGCTGATTATTACTATTGTTTATGTTTGTGGTTGCTATGTTGTGAATCATTCTAAAAGTCAATACATATTAGATTTACTGGAGTCTTTACAATTATTACTTCTTAAATAGTTAACAGACACATCACGACTACTGTGAGAGAGACTGAGAGAGATGGCTGTGGTGTAGTTGTGGGCTACATGTGTCGACAAGTCACTCCGCCGCTTGACACAACACGACTACTGTGAGAGAGACTGAGAGAGATGGCTGTGGTGTGGTTGTGGGCTACATGTGTCGACAAGGTCACTCCGCCGCTTGACACATCACGACTACTGTGAGAGAGACTGAGAGAGATGGCTGTGGTGTGGTTGGTGGGCTACATGTGTCGACAAGTCACTCCGCCGCTTGACACATCACGACTACTGTGAGAGAGACTGAGAGAGATGGCTGTGGTGTGGTTGTGGGCTACATGTGTCGACAAGTCACTCCGCCGCTTGACACATCACGACTACTGTGAGAGAGACTGAGAGAGATGGCTGTGGTGTGGTTGTGGGCTACATGTGTCGACAAGTCACTCCGCCGCTTAACACATCACGACTACTGTGAGAGAGACTGAGAGAGATGGCTGTGGTGTGGTTGTGGGCTACATGTGTCGACAAGTCACTCCGCCGCTTGACACATCACGACTACTGTGAGAGAGACTGAGAGAGATGGCTGTGGTGTGGTTGTGGGCTACATGTGTCGACAAGTCACTCCGCGCTTAACACATCACGACTACTGTGAGAGAGACTGAGAGAGATGTCTGTGGTGTGGTTGTGGGCTACACGTGTCCACAAGTCGCTCCGCCGCTTGACACAACACGTCTACTGTGAGAGAGACTGAGAGAGATGGCTGTGTGTGGTTGTGGGCTACATGTGTCGACAAGTCACTCCGCCGCTTAACACATCACGACGAATGACAAAATATGCAATTCACACATACAAGAAGTACATTCATAACTAATAATCATTAATTTTACGGTAGACTATTAGACAACTATGTGTATTGTAAAACTGGAGAAACAATTTCAGCTCAGAATACGCAACAGCAAGCAGTTATATACTTTCATAATATGGATTGTGAAATTGTTGGTAAATTCTGGGAAAAATACCAATTACCTATCAATAATCAATTTCATTAATAAAAGAAAATAAAGAAGTGTATGACTATTGTCAACATGGCCTACGTAACTTATACGTTAACCTGTTTACATAACAATTAATTCAAATCTTTATTTACCAGTGGCACTGTCGCCTTGGAGAGCTGTAATAGGTCGTTGGTACCAATGAGCAGGCAAACTTTTCTCCTGGGCGTGTATCCCCGGAGTCTCTGTTTGAGTTGGTGTACAGTCTGCCCGCTCACGCAAAGGCCCCCATTGTCGACTTGTGGATACTGTAAAAGATTTTCGTGTAAACAGTGAGTTAAAACAAAATTAAATCTGCAGGGTGTTTCGTTGTATTTGAAGTTACCAAAAGCCTTTTTAATTTAATCCTTCAGGTATCTGGGCTGGTTAGGTAGACAATTTAAGACTGGCAGATAAAAAAAAATGGTAGCAAAATGTAATACCCATCCTAGATAGCATATAAGCTTATGACAAACTTGTCATATCTTTTACACGGATAAACTTATAACCTTGACTAAAGGATGGATAAAGGGTAAAAAATACTTATATAGACAAAAATTACATTACATTGCAATAAATTTTATTATATTGTTATACTCACCGTAATTTGTTCAGAATACTTCTTAGCGAATCTTAAAAACATGCTATCGCAATCGCCCATTAGTTCATAACGACAAAACATCGGGCAAGACGGACAGAGTGTAGTCCGGTTATACCAATGTCCGGTTAAAAGGTGACCGGATAAGAGGGAGTCTACTGTATATAAAGTCTGTTTGACAAGCAGTTATATTATACCAAATTGACTTGTTATTGAAAAAAAACTGATGGAAGGAAGCTGAAGGTAAAGAAAAACCTCATAATAATCTCTGAAAAAAATGTAACTCAATATTACAGGATGAAACAACGTAGCAATTAAACAATAACAATATCTCCATATCCATATAGCCAGAATTCTGTTTATGGGAAATAACACATCTGAGAAGGTTCCAGTTTAGACTCCATCACCAACTGGGCGAATGGTAAGCTCGGTAATCTAAAAAAAATCAAGTTTAGTATTAATATTGTATTAAATGTATGGTAAAAGTTTCCCATTTTATGATATTTAAAATAACTATGGCTAAATGGCATGAGTCAAGAGTAAATTCTTTACAATCTAATGAATAAAGTAAAATGACATGTCTTCTGGTGTGAAGCCAAATTAAGCTGCCTTACACAATTCAATGCTTTATTTGCACTGTGAAGTCAATTTAAGCCATCTAATAAAGGTCAACGTTACTTACACTACATGACTTACTGACTGTTTTAGCCTAAAGTCACATAAGTGATCTGGGAAGAAGAATAATCAATTCCATCCAAATTTTATATTTTAATATAGAAAAATATCTTTTCAACCGGGTAAGAATGGAGGGAAGAAGAATACAGTTTTTATAAAATAAGTTAAATTACATCCATTGACTATATATGATCTTCATTAATAATTCGATGTTTGCTTATTAACTAGCTGTTACCAACGGGCTTCACCCCATTTGACTTCATAAGTACTGTATTAATAAAACTATTGATTGGTTGTTAAGCTGAAATTAACCAAACAGAATAATAGGCCTACAGTAATTAATAAAAACAAACAATCAAACCTGATTTTATAAGGTAATAAATTGAAAGAATAACAAACAAGTAAGTACAGCTGAGGTATCTTTAACATTAGGTATATGGAAAGTTCCCTTAAGAAAGGAATTACGTCCTTAAAGGGCAATTTATGACACAATGGGTAGTTTAGCGCAAGGTTTCTCGTCATGACGAACATTTTATATGTATATTGTTTATGGGGGTGTGACTTTTAGTTTTCTCAAAAGTTCATGTGTACTTTGGGATTTATATATGGATACAAAATATTCTTGTTGCATGATTTCAATCACATAGTCAGTTGGTTGTTTTGGACACACAGTTAGAATAAAATTGTAAATGTTTTAAAATGCCTGCACAGTAAATAAAAATCAAGAAAACTAAACATTGGGGATAATTTTTTTGCCACCCAAAGCCCAAGCAAAATTTACTTTTAGATACACAACTCCAAACTTTGAAGTCCTGAAGATGAAACACTCAGTAATAAAAAGTAAATAGGGATTTTTTTACACAATGGACTACAAACTTTCCAGAAGTTATTGTTAAGCTTAAATGTTTTAAGTACAAGTAGTGTACACTAGTTGTAACAAACTAACCTGAACGTGAGGAGGAGTAGCCAGCACATAATGGACAGCATCAGCAATGTCCTTAGACTTAAGATTAGCTCTTCCTGACATATCCATTCCTCCAGGAAAAGCATTGTTGGCTTCAAAAATCTCAGTATCCACCACCCCAGGGCTTATGCTCTGTAAAATTACCTTCAATATTTATTTATATCTTTTACTAATCAGGGTGAAACATATCTGCAATAATCTCTTGCATAATGTATTATGTTTGACTTTTGGTCCTGAAGAAAAGACGCTCTACTATATGGACCAACTATATGAAAACATCTTTGAACCCGCCAAGTACGAATCACATTCTTTGATTATAGATTTCTATGGTCTACTAGTCTAAGACATCAACGTCATTACCAGTTAGTTGACAGACTTGAATGAGATGAAGTGTTTGGTAAGGGAGGAAGGTGAACAGTGTTGGTAGTAAACAATGAACATTAGTATGATGTTTTGTACATGTAGACCAGTCTTTCTGAGGCAGAGACCGAAGTTAGGGGAATATTGCTATATAGTTTTTGGCTACTATGACGAGACTAATAGAAATGGGAACCAACAAGAATACATAGTAGTAAACGAAGTAAAGAATACAGCATTAGGGCATTGGTCTCAGGTGTAAAGTAGCTTGTTTATTCTTGAATTTTTTTATGAAGGTCAATTGATTGATACCGCAATGACAAATGCCCCCTGCTTGAGATTGACTTAGCCACCTTTAGATTAGAAGGCACTATAATGTTTTATAAAGATCTTGATTTTTAATAATTGGAAATAGTTTTGTAAACTAAAATATGTTAAGAAATATATTTATGTATGCTGTTTTTAGAGCTGTCAAAGCAAGAAATAAATATAACTCACAGTGACTTTTATCTTGGACTTTTGACTGGCGAGTTCTCTTCTTAGTCCCTCAGTGAAACACTTGGATGCATGTTTTGAAGATGAGTAAGGTCCTACCCCAGAAATGTCTCCTATTCGATGGGAGGCAACACTGAAAATCAATAAAAATGTATATTAATAGAGCCAAATATAAATTGATAAATAGCTTAGCCCTTCCCAAGCATTGGCTGTTCATATACGCAACTCAATCTGAAGGTCAGGAGCGTACAACGCATATAGGCCAATACGTCAAAAAATGTAAAAGCTGATTAGATATTTTAAAATGGTTTCTTGGCCGTCAACAATTACTTTAGCCCTTTTAATCAATATTATTGTTCTGATAACTTTTTTATTTATGGTTGTACATTTTTGATTGGAGGGTTGACATTACTAATCTCGTAACATCCGGCAGTTTTTTACAAAACCGGCCGGCTGTGTCATTCTCATGTTATTTTTTTGTGTGATCAGATTGTCTGATTACGTGTTCTTGAGAAGTAAATATAGTGAGATAAGTTTAGTAGAATATAAGTTATTCAGTGCATTAGAATGTGTTGTGTTGTTTATTGAAAATGACGTTTAGATCGAATGATCCAAATCAATATGGTTTATTGTATTATTATGATTAGATAAGTCTGTTTTGTATTAACCTTTTTAACAGTTGTATTGAAAACAAATGTTTTTCCTACAGAAAATTTCATAAAACTTGTAAAAAGTTATTTTGATAAAAAAGCTGTTTATAACCAACATAAACCATCATGTAGAGGTGGGAAAACATAAAAATTTCAAAATCAATTTTTTTAACAACAACCAAATTATTGACTGCGTGCGTAGTGAGTAGGGCTTCGCTCTTCAGCCATCGCTCAAGAAGGGTTAAAGGAGCTGAATTTAACAGACATGATAAGACTGAGCAGCAGACTTAAATAATGGAGAGGGGAAAAATTAAGAGTCATTCTAAAAGTCAATACATATTAGATTTACTGGAGTCTTTACAATTATTACTTCTTAAATAGTTAACAGACACAACACGACTACTGTGAGAGAGACTGAGAGAGATGGCTGTGGTGTGGTTGTGGGCTACATGTGTCGACAAGTCACTCCGCCGCTTGACACATCACGACTACTGTGAGAGATGGTTGTGGTGTGGTTGTGGGCTACATGTGTCGACAAGTCACTCCGCCGCTTGACACATCACGACTACTGTGAGAGAGACTGAGAGAGATGGCTGTGGTGTGGTTGTGGGCTACATGTGTCGACAAGTCACTCCGCCGCTTGACACATCACGACTACTGTGAGAGATGGTTGTGGGCTACATGTGTCGACAAGTCACTCCGCCGCTTGACACATCACGACTACTGTGAGAGAGACTGAGAGAGATGGCTGTGGTGTGGTTGTGGGCTACATGTGTCGACAAGTCACTCCGCCGCTTGACACATCACGACTACTGTGAGAGATGGTTGTGGGCTACATGTGTCGACAAGTCACTCCGCCGCTTGACACATCACGACTACTGTGAGAGATGGTTGTGGGCTACATGTGTCGACAAGTCACTCCGCCGCTTGACACATCACGACTACTGTGAGAGATGGTTGTGGGCACCATGTGTCCACAAGTCGCTCCGCCGCTTAACACATCACGACGAATGACAAAATATGCAATTCGCACATGCAAGAAGTACATTCATAACTCATAATCATTAATTTTACGGTAGACTATTAGACAACTATGTGTATTGTAAAACTGGAGAAACAATTTCAGCTCAGAATACGCAACAGCAAGCAGTTATATACTTTCATAATATGGATTGTGAAATTGTTGGTAAATTCTGGCCAAAATACCAATTACCTATCAATAATCAATTTAATTAATAAAAGAAAATAAAGAAGTGTATGACTATTTGTCAACATGGCCTACATAACTTATACGTTAACCTGTTTACATAGGCTAACAATTAATTCAAATCTTTATTTACCAGTGGCACTGTCGCTTTGGAGAGCTGTAATAGGTCGTTTGTACCAATGAGCAGGCAAACTTTTCTCCTCGGCGTATATCCCCGGAGTCTCTCTTTAAGTTCTTGTAAAGTCTGCCCGCTCACACATAGGCCCCATTGTCGACTTGTGGATACTGTAAAAGGTTTTCGTGTAAACAGTGAGTTAAAACAAATTAAATCTGCAGGGTGTTTGGTTGTATTTGAAGTTACCAAAAGCCTTTTTAATTTAATCCTTCAGGTATCTGGGCTGGTTAGGTAGACAATTTAAGACTGGCAGATAAAAAAAAAAATGGTAGCAAAATGTAATACCCATCCTAGATAGCATATAAGCTTACGACGAACTTGTCATATCTTTTACACGGATAAACTTATCCCTTAACCTTGACTATAGGATGGATAAAGGGTAAAAAATACTTATATAGACAAAAATTACATTACATTGCAATAAATTTTATTACATTGTTATACTCACCGGTAATTTGTTCAGAATACTTCTTAGCGAATCTTAAAAACATGCTATCGCCCATTAGTTCATAACAACAAAACATCGGGCAAGACGTCATGCCAACGAGTTTTGGCAAAGGCCCCATTGTCGACTTGTGGATACTGTAAAAGGTTTTCGTGTAAACAGTGAGTTAAAACAAATTAAATCTGCAGGGTGTTTGGTTGTATTTGAAGTTACCAAAAGCCTTTTTAATTTAATCCTTAAGGTATCTGGGCTGGTTAGGTAGACAATTTAAGACTGACAGATAAAAAAAAATGGTAGCAAAATGTAATACCCATCCTAGATAGCATATAAGCTTACGACAAACTTGTCATATCTTTTACACGGATAAACTTATCCCTTAACCTTGACTAAAGGATGGATAAAGGTTAAAAAATACTTATATAGACAAAAATTACATTACATTGCAATAAATTTTATTACATTGTTATACTCACCGGTAATTTGTTCAGAATACTTCTTAGCGAATCTTAAAAACATGCTATCGCCCATTAGTTCATAACGACAAAACATCGGGCAAGACGTCATGCCAACGAGTTTTGTTTTGCAGTTAAACTTTTAAAAAACGCTTCAGATTTTTGTTGCCTTGATGTTTTTCGGTGCAGGGAGGGGCCTTAATTAAATCCTCTGACAGCTCATTCTAGCACAAATATAAATTGATAAATAGTTTAGCCCTTCCCAAGCATTGGCTGTTCATATACGCAACTCAATCTGAAGGTCAGGAGCGTACAACGCATATAGGCCAATACGTCAAAAAATGTAAAAGCTGATTAGATATTTTAAAATGGTTTCTTGGCCGTCAACAATTACTTTAGCCCTTTTAATCAATATTATTGTTCTGATAACTTTTTTATTTATGGTTGTACATTTTTGATTGGAGGGTTGACATTACTAATCTCGTAACATCCGGCAGTTTTTTACAAAACCGGCCGGCTGTGTCATTCTCATGTTATTGTTTTGTGCGATCAGATTGTCTGATTACGTGTTCTTGAGAAGTAAATCTAGTGAGATAAGTTTAGTAGAATATAAGTTATTCAGTGCATTAGAATGTGTTGTGTTGTTTATTGAAAATGACGTTTAGATCGAATGATCCAAATCAATATGGTTTATTGTATTATTATGATTAGATAAGTCTGTTTTGTATTAACCTTTTTAACAGTTGTATTGAAAACAAATGTTTTTTTTAAAGAACAAGCGTTAAACGTATATATACAGATCAAGACATTCCTTAGCGAGTGCTGGACGTATATACGCCGCAACAATTGGTCATAAAACTTGTAAAAAGTTATTTTGATAAAAAATCTGTTTATAACCAACTTAAACCATCATGTAGAGGTGGGAAAACATAAAAATTTCAAAATCAATTTTTTTAACAACAACCAAATTATTGACCGCGTGCTTAGTGAGTAGGGCTTCGCTCTTCAGCCGTCGCTCAGGAAGGGGAAAGGAGCTGAATTTAACAGACATGATAAGACTGAGCAGCAGACTTAAATAATGGAGAGGGGAAAAATTAAAGAGTTATAAGCTATTTTTAAAAGATGCCATTTTTTTTGCAGTTAAAGAGTTTTTAATGATAAAAAGTTGATAAACAGTCAAAGAGAGAGAATTACAAGTGGAATGAAAATGGGAGGGATGACCATAGTATTACAAGGTGTAAAGCTACTGCACTTAAAACATGCATTTATGTACTGATAAAGACTTCCGTCGGATTTATGGACTAATTTGAATTTTATGTGGATTTGAAAATGGGTCTAAAACCTGAAACTATAGTATTCATTCTGATAGCCCCTGGACTACGTATAATGACTTTATAGGCTTAACTCCGTCAGTAGTCCAAATTGTGTCTAAGGCTACGATTATACTAGGACGCTGGCGTCCGGGATGCTGGCATCCGCGAGGCTAGCGTCCCCCACTTCGAGCCGAAAATGACGTGATTTGTGTTGGGATGCTAGCCTCTCGGACTGCCATTTTATTTCAATGTTTTGTCACTTTTTGTTTATATATATTTAAATAGCATTAGGTTTAACGAGTACCCAGGTTTGCTGCTTTAAGGAGGCTAATAAAGTGTGTTTTTAGTAAAATATTAATAGTTTAGTATAAAACAAATTGACCAAGTTTGATCAAAATAATGTATTAATGTATGTAATAATGTATGTAATGTATGGATGTCCATACATAAGCAAATTCCAACAGTTAACAATATTTTCTATAAGAATAACATGGGAGTTTTTAATTTACACTTTTTTGAATTTTATCCGTAACTAATAACTGTACAAAAACACTTTAATATACTAAATTATTTGTTTTTAAGCTCATTAAAATTGTCTAGAGAGAAGTTGGGAAATGATGTGTTTCACGGGTCAAAAATTACAAAACCCCTTTTTTACCCTATAAAACCCCGTCCCAAAGGTCTGTTCTTCTGGTTCGCGAACTTATTCAAGTTTATCCCGCCCTTCACCTGTAAGCCAAATTTCATTAAAATTTACTCAAGTTATCGCGTTTTCGGACATGTATATAATATTTAAATCTATATGAACGGATGTGTTTTTGGCCTCTGGGGACATAAAATTAAAAAAGTAAATCGGTCCCGGGTCCAGGTCTTACCATGCGACCTATGGTAATGGTAATGGCGTATTCCCTATATTCAGTGTTGGGAAGTAGCACGCTACAAGTAGCGACGCTACAGTAGCGCGCTACTTTTTTTGTAGCGTTAGCTGTACCTAAGCTACTTTTAAGATTTTGTAGCTTTAGCTGTAGCTAGCTACATTTTTAAAGTAGTTGTAGCGGAATTTTAGCTACTTTTCTCGCTACATTAACATTGTTTGAGGTAGTGATTTTTATCATAACCTCAACCTTACGTGAAACCTTTCAAACTGAGATTTTCAAAAAAATTAGGCTGGCTTCATACAGCTGGTTGCAGCCGTTTCATTCCCTATACAAACAACGTTGTGTGAACATGGAGGCCATTAAATGAGTGTTATCCACATTTTTGCCTCTCATTTCCTTAATTTACTACTCTATGATTACTGTCAGATAAAATAAAATCGCTAGATGCAGACGACTTTTAAACGTTACCGGTGACAAGAGAAGCTATTGAATGCTTGCAAGTGATTGTCAGGGAAATTAGTAATCAATTTAGTTTCTTTATTATATCGATAGTGTTTCAACTTGGGTTTTAATGGAAACCAACACTAACACTAAACCTTAAAATAATGAGAAAGCTGGTCTATCAACCTTTGCTTCAGCTGTTGATTGTGGTTCATCACCACAAGCCCTTCCTTGGTTAGATTACAAAGATTTTTCAAAGGTTTACTAAATTAACAAAGAGGAAGTTTCCTGATGTGATTTAAGATATGCCTAGACTAATTGATAATTGTAACGAAAAAATCTCCATATAACATGAAACTTACATTGAACAAATAGCATAGTTTGCTCCTGCTAACAGCTCTTGTATAGGACTATTCCTAGGCTATGCTATGGTTTAAGACAAATACCAAGTTCCAAGTTCAATTATTAGGAATATATCTGTTTAGTCCTTTCAAGAACAAGCCTACCATAGCCAACTTGTTACATAGCCAAGTAGGCCTACATGTTATTTTTACTTTAAAAATTTCAACATGTTTAAATTAAAAGCCGATTTCAGGATAAGTTGCTGAATACTGTTTTCTGTACCAACTAGGTTGAAGCACAATTTTCCCTATGCATAATGACAATAAAGGACGATTTCTTGACATTGAAAAGTGTTATATATAGAACAAGTAACTTATCACTATGGTTAAAAGTTATATCAATGTCGTTTTTAACATTAAAAGTAAAGAAAGGCAATAAACTCCAATTTCAGCAGGCTAGGCTCTGTAACACAAACAAGTAGGCCTATTTTTAAATAATCGTTTTACAGTTTTATTGGTCTTAATTGTTTATATAAGACATCTATAAATGAATCTATATTAAAGAAATAAAATGAGCTTTTAAAATATAGTTTGGTTGTATGTCCTTTGAACTTAATGAAATTTACATATAAGATGCTTAAAAATAATGCAATATTTAAAAATAAGTACTAAATATGATGGGAAACCCAACTATTTGGTTTTGTTGTTGTAAAGTTAGGTATATAATGCCAACAAATTAAACACAATCTAGGAATAATTTGTTTTCCAAGTAATGTTAGATACAATCATTGACTATACCTGTAGGTATATATAGTCAATGCTACAATACTGACATTTTTTGTTTAAATGTTTGTTCAATAAAAATGTAGTTGCAATTAATTTTACATTTACCTAATGTGCGTGGAATAAAAAGTAACGTCTTTGGAAAAGTAGCTAAAATTGTAGCTGTAGCTACATTTCATTGTAGCTGCAATTGTAGCTAGCTACTTTTTCGGAACTGTAGCTGTAGCTGTAGCTAAGCTAATTTTTTTTAAATGTAGCAGTAGTTGTAGCTAGCTACATTTTAAAAGTAGCTTCCCCAACACTGCCTATATTCGCGCACATGTCGAAAGACAGCGTCTCGGAAGCTAGCCGCCTAGTATAATGCGCCACATTTTAACCAATGCCCCACAACCGATATTGTGCATCCCGGGAGGCAAAAAGTTACCGGACGCTCAAATTTTAGCCTCCCGGCCAGGAGGCACAAAATAGAGCGTCAGGTGGCTTTTTCAGCATCCTACGCTGGCATCCCTAGTATAATCGCCCCCATTTGATTTAATGCCCCGATAGTGTCCCGGACGGCAGCGTCCTAGTTTAATCGTAGCCTAACTTCAAATTTATTATTTGAAGTTAGACACAATTTGGACTACTGACGGAGGTAAGCCTGCAAAGTTTGAAACTATAGTCATCTCTAGACTATTATTTAAGACTGAATACAGCCTGGAGAATCCCTAAGGTACTAAAAGAGACTGACCTATTTCCTAAATATGTGGTTCATACTTGGTGTCAATTTTTCCTGACATTGTTATGGGCTACACCAACACATCTAATCATTGCATAGGTGTGACCAGCTAGAATAGTTGTGGTTGAGATCAAGTTCAAGGAGCTGGTGTGATGTTTGAGTTAGCTTTACTGGCAGTAACAGTTTACTGACAACTCTTACATAACATTTAGGACTAGGAATCAAAAGCTTAAGTAGCCACAATTGCAATATGGAACAAAAGACCAACATCCATTCCGATAATAAATTTGTAGGTAACAAGGAATATTTTATGCATAAATAATTTATTATTGAATGCCTAAGTAATTTATTGGTTTACCTGTTTATATTGATGATATGACCATCATCTATATTCCGCTCTCTCATAGAGATCAAGGCTTCTCGAGAACAGGACCCGAGAGCAAACACGTTAATATCAAACATCCTACGCCACTCTTCTACATCACCATCTGCAAAGTAATATGTACCTCTTAAACCACTAACCACTCTTTAATAATCTCTTTTGTATTTCCATATTGTGCGATTATAGAAAGTGTTCTTAAAAGGTTGTATGTATTCTTTTTGGGCTGACAGTGTTTGTGTTTGAAATAAAGAAGAAATAGGATAACCAACTTATTTTAAAGAATATCTACAATTTTATTAAACCAGCAAGAAGAGTTAAATACATTGTTAAAGCAAATAACACAATTAATTTAGTTAGGGTTTTAAACTACATTAACTATGCCCAGGTACGAAACGTTAATCTTACCACAAGTTTGGGCTCTTATAAAAATGCCAGCATTGTTGACTAAGACATCCACTCCACCCAAACTTTCCTTCACCCATGTAAAGGTCCTTTTAACATCCTCTTCCTTTGTAATGTCACATTTGATTGGATGAAATGTTCCTGGTTTTTCTTTCAGCCTTTCCTTGATATCCTGAAAATAATCAAGAGAACCGTCAATGTTTTTCATATCCATATCTATAATACGTGAAGCCGTTTTTTGTGAACACTACTACTCCCTTATTTGTGGGAAAATTTCAATATTTTAAGGTGTCAAAAAAATTGTCTCAATTCGTAGTTTTGCAATAAAGGTTTAATAAGAGATCTTATGCATATGAGAAGAGTAGTAGAGAGAGAGGCCTGGTCTAACCGTAAGGAATTCAGATACACACTCTCTTGGAGGGATGAATGATATTTCTAAGTTCTGCTAGGCAACTTACATTGGAAGTAAAAAAAATACCACGCCACAGTAAAACTGTAGACAAAGTGAATTTCCATTTCTGGCTGGATTTCTACTAAAATATTCCCTTAAAATTGTCAGATTTATTTCCTGTTTAAATAACATTAATTTTAATGAGTACAACTAACAGTACACTTTAAACAAAAATAAATTGTATAGGCCTACTAGGAGTGAAAAATATTGTTTCATTGCATAAACAGTATAGGCCTATTATTGGGATGTGCTACTTTGCCAAAAAACAAAAATTACATTACATTGTAAATGAAGTGACATGTTACAATATCACACGTTATTGTCCATTTTAACGTTCAGTCCAACACTAATGGTGTTTGTAAAACTGCACATTTTCTGATTCTGTATTAATGGGTGTTTCTGAGCAAAGACCCATATTAAATCCTCAAATTTTCCTTTGACATTTTTTGGCTGATTGTTCCCTTTGTACAGTTGACTGGGCTTCATACTCGGGCTGATTTCCTTATTTTTGGGGAGGGACAAGCTTCCGTAGATTTGTACTTGGTGACTAGTTTTTAAGTGGTGACCACTTAAAATTTTCTATAAAACTGTCCAATTGCTGTGTCCACAGTTGTACGATTTTACGTGCTCTTGACGCATTAGAGCACGTGAAACATACGGAGAAGAAAACCCGAGTGGTTTCTGAAGCGCAGGCCGCAAAGCAAGTAGAACCAAAACTTTGGTTATTCTTGCCGTTTACCGTGCTGCTTAGGGTTGTTTTGAGTTTTTAAAACTTGTTTATTGCATTGTGCAATGTATACAAATTATACACATTAATGTGCAGGAAATAAAAATTATCTCTAGACATTCTAGTGAAATTTTTTATCAAAGCATCTTCATCAAGCTCCAAACTACTTAATAGGTATTGAAATGTTTCTTATTTTAAAGTAATCTTTAATCCATACAGAACGAGCATTTTATTTCTTTTATGTTAGTGCACTTTTGATATTAATAAACAAGCAACACTAATTCCAGCAACTGCCAAAGCGTCACGATTCATAATCACACTTACAACACACCAATAATATGTCTTCTACACGACTTTACGCTTCTGCGAGGAGTATATGCCTAACATATGTGGACACCCACGCAGCCTGCTCTACAAGCATGCTTCACCTGCGTGTGTTAAGATGCAAATTGAAACTAAAGTTGAAAAAAAGTCAAATAGAAAATCGCACAAGTGTAGACATAGCAAGGAAGATGCAAGTTGTCAGTAGAAACCTAAATCTATTCATACCGTGCCATAAGTGTATCCTAGTGGCCATTAGCATCGTGTGGTTCAGAAACTTGGGCACTGACCAAAGAACCGAATAAGAATAACATTTATTGCCTGGTTTGAGAATTTAGTGCAGAGAAAATATACGGACCATTCAAGATAACTGAGGTTGAGGTACAATAGAACAGAGAGCTAAGAGAAATGTATAAAGATATAGGGGTATTTCCAAAAGTAAAAGGCTCGGATCGCAGGCTACGTGTGGTTGAGAGAAGATACACCAACTTTTAAAAGTGTAGCCTATTCCAAGGAGTACCACAAAGTAAACAACCACTTGGAAGACCAAGAATGAAGTGGAATGACCAAGTGGTAATGAAAGACATCTCCAGACTGGGATTTACATTAGAAGTGGCAGGGGATAGAAGAGAATGGGAGGCCAGAATCCCCTTAAGGTTTCAGTGGCCACGGAGGAAAGATAAGGTACGGTAAGTTATAGTATGCAATGGAAGGTGGTAGCTACTGTACTAAAAACCAGTGTGTGTGAATCCGAATCCACCGCAAATCTCAATTCAAGGCTTTACAAATTGAAAAAAATTGCTGTTTTACTCTAAAATTATTGGATTCAAAACACATAGGCCTATTGTATGGGCAAATAGTCGGATGAAAGAAATAGACAGGGGTCTTGTGACATTTGTTTAAAAGATAATTTTCCCCATTAAAACTGGCAGAATTTGTATTTGTGAGTGTAAAACTAGCTAGATTAGTTTCCAGTTTTTTAAATGTGTTAGTTTTTTCTTTTTTTATCTCTGGTGGATGGCGATTAAATAGTTGGATTGCCTTGTAATATGGACCCTTTTCCAAAAGAGACAATCTATGTTTAGGGTACCGCAGAGTGTCTGTGTTTCTTGTACCCTGAGTCCCCAGACTGTTTGTTTGAAAAATATTGTTGATGATTTTTTTAAATGTAATAACTTCAAAAATATAAAAAACCTGGTACAGTTATTAGTTTAGAATTTTTGAAATATTGTTTACATGATTATATTTTAGTTTAAACATTGCTCGAATGGCCTCTTTTTGTAAATTGAATATCTTGTCAATTACTGATGTTCCACCCCAAAGGATGATGTACCTAACAATTGATAAAAAATAACCATGATAAATAACACAATATTTATTTGCATAGTTAACTTACCTTCAATCTCTCCTCTCGTCTCGCCACTCCTACAACGACCATCCCACTGCCTACTAAGTCCTCAACAATGGCCTCCCCAATACCAGCACTGGCTCCTGTCACAAACGCTACTCTGCCTTGCCAACGCTCCATCCTGACTTAGAAACTTGCGACTATAAAATAAAGAAAAGTTTTCAGGACTCAATATTATTTAACTTAAATTTAGCCCTAATTTGTAGGTCTCAATAAAATTTTAAGAATTTTGAAAAAGAAATAGGCACTTGTAAGTTTTTTAAAAATATAAAAATATACATAAACATACATTTACTTATAATAATCTACTTATTATAATCACTACCTACTTATTATAATAGGTCATTATATAAAATATTAAAATGCCTAAATTAGACCAGGCAAAGTTTGAAATAGTAACTAATTATATACTTTGACTAGTCATTCTATAGCGTATTAGTGTAAATATATTGGACAACATTTCTCTAAATGTGAATGGACATTAGTTACACAAAATAAGGTAGTAAAAACAGTTTCAAAATTTTCAAATTAAAAATCCATGGACCATTTTTGACTTTCTATTTATATAATCAAAAAGACTACGGTAATACATATATATATATCTACACCCCTCTCCACTATATTTAATAGTTGCCTTCGTAATGATTATTTTCCTGATCAACCTAAAATTTCAAAAGTAACAGTAAAATTCCAATCCAACAACAGCCAACTCCAATACGGTAGGCCTACTGCAAGCAATGATGTAGTGGTAGTGATTAGGGTACTTTGGTATTATCCTGATGCCATCATCCTTATACAGCACGCTGCGGCGGTTAAGTTAGGTTGGGTTATCATAAATATGTTTGTAGGACTTTCCTAGTTTCGTTATGAATTGAACGATACCAGATGAGTCATACTTTCGCCCGCCAAATCCTCTCCAAGTAGGCCAAAATCAGGTCGTTGACCGGAGCGCGCGCATCAGCTGTCACCACCTGTATCTAGATTTTGGGTCTGTGCCCGGAGTGATTTATTGCTGTGCACTAGGTTAGTTTTGTCTCCATAAAGAGTGATTTTTTTTAACAAAATGAAAGTCCTACAAACATATACCCAACTTCACATAATAGACGGGTGGCCCTGTGGCCTCCGTTTCAACTCAACCCTCAAACTCAACATCGCTACCTTCTGGGAGGCAGAACTCAAAGGCCGCTAATCGTAATCATGTCAAATTTGGACAGCAAGTCAATTAAAGTATGTTCTTTCCAATTATGTAGTTATTTTTGGTATCCGGTACAGAAAATCCCTCTAAAATAAGTAGCCTTTACTTTTCTTTTCAATGAAATGGCGACCATACAAAGTAGGTATTTTAAGCCAAGTATGAATGGAGATGAGTGTTGGATGAGTGGCGTGATCTTGTAGTCTTGTTTGTGACTAAGGCTGACTTATTCCTTTATTCCTGACACAGCTGTGGCATGGCCCATGCAGCTAATGGCAACTAAGGGACCTAAAATAGGCAAAAAATCCTCTAAAATAAGTGGCCTCCGGATAATACCAAAGTACCGCGATGAATTTGTAATTGGTGCCCATTGCTAATGGCTGCAGCAAGCAAAAACTGTACCTCTAAAAGGGCGATAAGAACCTATGTCAAAACTATCGCCCAATCTCAATAGTACCAATCTTATTTGTACTTTACATATTTTTGGTTTATTTGTACATAAGTTTTCAACCACTGGACGACTTCTATTTTACTATATTAACTATTTTACGAAGTCGTTCAAAAAAGAAACCGTCTGTGGCAATTAGATTAACTTATCAGCAATACTTAAATGCTATTGGAAGAGAGAGAAACAGGTCCACGACTTTGGAACTGGTGAAGGAAGTAGTAAAGGCGAGCATTGCGGAGTGTGGGATGCGTTTGTGGCAGTTAGATAAACGTATCTGCAATACTCAAATGCTATGGGAAGGGATGGAAACAGGTCCATGATGTAGGAAGTGGTGATGGAAGTAGTAAAGGCGACCAGTGAGCAAGGGCGGTTCCAGAGAGGGGGCCATGGCCCCCCCCGAGAATGTAGATAAACAAACTTACAGTAAACTCCAACCATAATAATTTATTTTTAAAGTTTTTTATGTGAGTAGGCTATCAAGTACAGATGTACCTATTCGTTAGGACAAGAATAGGTAGCACAGGTAAGGCGGAGCTGGCGTTTACGTGGAAAATAGTATGGGAGTGAGAGCGCGATAGTCATCGTCGTACTCAAGTTGTACTAGCCTGGGCCACACACATTCGCCACAGGTGCGCGGTGCCACCAGCTCGTAGTTAAACGGGTAATGTTTTTAGGCCGGCGCGTAGTACACATCGATGACTCATCACCATCACGCCATGTGACGAGCATCGATATATAGTAGTTATATATCGATGGTGACGAGTAGCCAATAGCACTGCTAGCACTGGTAGCAGCACTGCTGTGGTAGTAGTAGCGACCAGCCAACTACAACACTACAACACTGCGACTAGCGAGTAGACACTGAGTAGAGCAGCAGTGAGAGTGAACTGAACATATATGGAATTTGAATTTATGCTACGTTGTCACTAGTTGATTTTATACCCTTGCATTGTGATTGGTTATTTATGGGTTCTTCGTCAGTATTTGAGTAGTAATAATGCAGTATCGTAAGCACAACTAATAGATTATAGGCCTAGGTCTCTGTCGGTAAATACAATGGACCATGGGCGCCATATGTAAACTCACCTTACAATATTCATTTAGGCTAGGCCTATTCTATAAATGTTAAAGTTAATAAGTTAACAAAGATAAGGATTACAAAAGGTGTTTTATTTAAACAAATGAACAATTAACATGCAATGAGAAAAGGCTTGACGTTACAATGAAAGGATTGACAATGGTGTATGGGGTTAAAATTAAATTGAAATAAAAGATAAATTTGAATAATAACTTGAAGGTTCAAATAATTTAGATGTGATATATCTCAGGGTAGGGTGTCGTGCTGGCTTGAATGCTAATAATTAATAAATTTAATAGTGTCCAAATAGGCCTAATTAAGGTGTTGAACTTATAAATACCAACAATGAAAAATCTAATTTTGGTGTTGTCCAAAAGGTAAGTCCAATTAGCACAAAATTTAAAAGAGTTTAAAGAAAAGGTTATACTTAATTTTGAAGATAATGATTGAGTTGAGTCCTCTTGAGGTTTAGGTTACTATGTGATATAACTTAAAACTTGTCTTCTTGATGAATGAATTTGATTTAACTTAGGTAAAATTTTGACTCCTTCTTCAACAATTTCAACTTCTCAATGGCTTCCTTCTCTTTCAATCTCACTGTTGACATCACTCATTGTTGAACACATGGGATCACTTTCACTGCTTCTTAAATTTTGATTCCTTAAGGACTAATTTTGAAATGATATTATAAGAAATTTTGATTGCAATTCTCTTACATATTTAATAAATAATTAGGTTGTGGGTTTTGTAAAAAAAAAATATATAGGCTATGAATGAATATTAGGGCAGCCTTTCTGAGGAGTGATTATTAGGTGTATGAATAAAAGTTAACATAAAAAAACACTTAATACTAAATAATGAATGAAATGAAATGAAATATTACACATAAGTTATTGAACCTACAATTTCAATTTCCTAAATTAGCCGAGCCTGAAAAAAATGTTTCAAGCTGATACCTTACAAGCATTTTGCAGAGGTTTGTTTTCAACGCAATACAATTGTAATTATTGAGCTCCCATATGCATTTAAGGGGTCTGACTTAGGGGAGGTACGAATGAGGCATTAGTTCAAAATTCCTCCGTGAACAGCGCTGTAGTAGAGAGCACTTTGGCAATGAAGGTTACAAGCGTCTACAGCCTGACTGATCACTTATTGCAAACGAAAAAAAACTGGCCAGGAGCCACTGAAGAAGAAGAAACAAATTTTGTCTGCTTGATTTTATGACGTGACGTACTGACGTATCCGTATCGTTCTGGCTGTCGGCTGTGTTGTTTTGGTTTAGCTGTTTGTTTGTTTCCATTACATCAAAAGTTAGTGTAGTATTTTGATTCATAGAGGATACGCGTCCGGTAACCGGACGTGGATAAGGCGTACGGCAATGACGTCATGGGGTTGCGGGAGCCTGGAACGCCTTTACCACAACAATACAGTGACCAGCCATCGGTGTTCGTGGTGTAGTGGATAAGGTGCTCGGCTGATATGCAAGAGGTCCAGGGTTCGAATCCCATTGATGACTTTAACTTTTTGTCGAAGAGTTTTGCATTGAATACCATTTATTCTTAACTGTACATCTTTTATTAGAATTTTTGGCATTTATAATTTTTTTTATAGAGAAAGAATTTCACCTTAATTCGATTTTTTCACTATCAGCAAGTTTGGTTGGTTAGGTTAGGTTATGACAGTAATTGCCGGACGTCTAATCCACGTCCGGTTACCGGACGCGTATCCTCTGCCATTTTGATTTTGTATATTTCTTTGCAATTATTCATTTTGTTTCCATGTAATGATTAAAAAGAAGTTCTTTTTCTTGTGAAATTTATTTATGATCGCTGGACATGTAGATGTTGTGATATTTACGTTTTGATATCCTATTGTGTAGTCTTTTGTAAGATTAAGATATTAACCCTAGATCTGGCGGTCATTTTATTCACCAGTGGCGGGTATATTTTGGCGCTTTTGTAGTGGTATCATATATTTTGCCACAGAACATTTATTTGTGAATATAAGTACACACATATATATATATTCTATTTCAGTGATGAATTTAGAATATAATAATATAAAAATATTCTTTTCCTAGCAATGCGTTTAGGCGTAGTAGCAAAAGGTTTGCAAATTTTTTGATTATGCAAATTAGAAATTTCAAAAGCAACCCACAAGAAAACCACAAAATAATTTGTTTACACATTTTATCTAAATGTAAAGTTTGTGTGAAATATGATTCCCTACGTAGGAATATCAATGTTTTTTAAATGCTCATAAAAATAAAATTAAAAAAAATAAATTCTTCATACATATTTTCTTTTTTGAAAAACTACCAAATTTCTTTTGTCACGTTGGAAATAATAGAATGCATCAACAAAAAATGTAATGATACTGTACAATAGGTAATAAAAGATCTTTCTGAAAATATATAGTTATGTTTAGTTAAATTCTAAAATGTCAGAAAAATTTACGTCGGAATGTAAAATTTTGAAGATTTTTTTACAAAAACATAATATTTATGAACATTTTCATAAACAAATAAAATTTTTACAATCAACCTTATAGATTCACAGGGAATTGTAGGGAATTTATTGTAGTTTCAGAATATGTACTAATATTGTATACAATTTAATTGACAATCACCAAAAACAGCTGTTTTTGTAGTCAGGTGACCAAAACTTTCCACCGCCAAAATCTATTTTGAACTCTCTAGTTTTTCAAACTACCGTTTCTCGCTACATAATACTCACTCAATAATGTTTTATGCATGAAAATGAATCCTCAGAATCTCATCTTTTTAATGGTATACGTTTTGTAGCGTTTTAAACCTGTTTTATGGCTACAATTTGTCATTTTCGCGCACATGTTGCATTGGTCCTTTTAGGGACCATGCCAGTTCACAGTTGAAAAATTGAGGTCCAAAAATGGACCAACGCCAGATCTAGGGTTAATCTTGTGGGTAGTGTTATACATTTTCACCACACTATCATGTTTTTGGCTGTATTACATACGTTAATTGGTGGCCGAAAGTTACGTTTTGCTGGCGATGCCAGCTGTCCATAATTTGGGGAC